GCAGAGGGCCAGACCTTGCCCTATGCCTTGCTTTGCTTCCCCAGCTCCAGGCATGGAAGTATGGGATCCTTGTCTGCTGAATGACAGCGGCCCAGCCTGGGTTCCCTGGCCCCAGAGCAGGAGTCCTAGTGGAAGCCTGCACAACACGGAGCCTCTTCTTCCCTTGGATGCCCCTAGAGAGATTTCTATCCAAGCAGGCCCTGCTCGAAAGGCCCACTGGGCCTTCCCTCCAGGTGGATCTAAACTCAAAGAACAAGTCTAATTGGGCAAGAAACTTACTCACAGGGCCTCGGTGACTCACAGTCACCCCAAGACCATGAATCTCTCCCCAGGAAATGGTGGAATAAGGCTGCCCTACCTTACCCATAGACTCTAGGATTTCAGGCCAAGTAGAATTATGTAAATAGAAACCAGTTCTTTGGGGATTAGAAAGTGGGGCAGGTCTCCTCCCAAAAGGTGTTGTTCCTCTTCCCTTTCTGCTTGTTAACCTCTTCCTGGTTTGCTTCCCCCAGGGCCTTCCCGAAACATCCCTGGCTGAATTCTTACTGTAGTCGCCCACTCCTGGCCAGTGGCCTACCTGCCACTAGGATTTTCTTCTTGGAGGTTGGGGGTGACTGAAGGAGGAGGAAGGACAAGCTGGGATAGGCAGGGGAGCTCTCAAAGGTCTCATGGTGCCCCCAGCTTGGGCAGGCTGCTGATCCTGGGGTGCTGTCAGTAAGCCAGTGGTGGGGCTTTCTGGGGCAGAGGCTCTCCATGTCCTCCTGAACTTAGGCCCAGAGGAGACAACACTCCTTTCTCCTCATGGAACCAGCTACCACACACTTGCAAATCCTCGGGCTTTCTGGGTTCTCTGTGCTTCTGGGAGTCAGCCCCTGTTCCCAAGCCCTTTCCTGCCTCCTCCGGGTCCTGATGCAGGAGGTAGGCACACACCCAGCGGGCAGGCCCAGATCTGCAATGTTTGGCTCAGCCTCCAAGCCGGAAACCCCCAGGCTGGTGGCAAGGTTTTCATTCCTAGCATCGAGAGTGGGAGAGGGCACCAGGCTTCAGGGTCCTTCCCTCTCTCTCTCTGAGCCTCAGAGCTGTTGCCTCTGCTCCCTGGGCAAAGGAGCCCTTTCTTCTAGTGCCTGTTTATTTCCCAAAAGGGAGCCTCAGCCAAGGGCTCTGTGAAAGCGGCTCTGTTCTGGGCCTCGCTGGGCCTTGGCTCTCTCCCCAACTCCTTTCCGGGAAAATGTGACATCTCTCTCTCCTCCCTCCTCTGAAAGGCCCTCTCGGTGGGGTGGGTGGTGCAGAGAGGGCTGTGGGGAGAGAGGCCTAGGCCTTCCTTCTGCTTGTGAGGAGCCAGGGCTCTGGCCTCAGCTGCACAACCTGGGACCCACTCTCCCTAAGTCCCTCTTTCCTCACAGCACTAGCTACTTTCCGAACAGGCCCACCTTGGTTCTCACCCAGCATAGGACAGCACCTGTCCCTCCCCACCATGATGCCATGGAGCAGGTGCTCTCAGAGCTGAGTGTGACCTTGCTTGCTCCCAGCCTGCCATGCACCCTAGGGGGCCATGGGCCACCTGCCTGCACAATGCTGTGGCCCTCAGGGATGTCCTCAGGGACGCTGGCTTCATAGCTACTCTGCAGAAAGATGGGCCTGTTGTCATTCACATCCAGGACAGTGACAAACACGGTGGCGGTGCCTGTGCGTCGCTTCCCCACGGGGCCGTTGTCTGTGGGAGTTGGAGGAAGACAGGTGTTAAGAGGCTGCCCAAGGGCCAGGATCCCTGGGCCTGAGCACACTCTGTGCATCCCACCCGCCCTGGCCTTTTCCTTTTTAGGCAAGAATAACACTTACAGCATCTAACACTTAGGTAAGGCCATCCTCACAGTAGCCACGTGCAGGAGGCACTCTCATTATCCCCCCCACTTTACAGAGAAGGCAACTGAGGCACTCAGGGGGACTGAATGGTAGCTCCCCCAAAAGATATACCCATCTCAAATCCCTGGGAACCTGTGAATCTTAATTTATTTGGAAAAGAGGCCTTTGAAGATGTAATTATATTAAGGATTTTGAGAAGAGATCATCCTGGGCCATAGATCCAATGACAAGGGTCCTTACAAGAGAAAGACGGAAGGAGATACAAGACAGAGGGAAGCTATGGGAAGAGGGAGGCAGAGACGTGGGCTCATGGACCCAGCCCCAGCCAGGGAGCCCCAGACACAGAAGCTGCGAGAGCCAAAGAAGGATTCTCCCGGGAGGAAAGGCAGCCCAGCTGACAACTTGATTTTGAACTTCTGGCTTCCACAACCATGAGAGAATAAATTTCTGTTATTTTAAGCCACCAAGTTAGTGGTAATTTGTTAGGACAAACTTAGGAAATGGATACAACAGGTAGTAAGAGAAAAATGCCACTCAGACCAGGTGGTAAGGGACCCACCTGGATATGCCCACCTGAAGGGGCAGCTGTCCTCTGTTCTAGTCTACAGAATGTGGGCCCAGGGACACCAGATCTTCTGATTTTTCAAGAGAAATTGAACATCTGAACTTTTTTGTTTTTGAGTAGAGTGCCATGGTGTCATAGCATACAGCAACTTCAGACTCCTGGGCTCAAGCGATTCTCTTGCTTCAGCCTCCCGAGTAGCTAGGACTATAGGCGCCCATCACAACACCCGGCTATTTTTAGAGGCAAGGTCTCAATCTAGCTCAGGCTGATCTCAAACTCATGAGCTCAAGCAAATCCACCCACTTTGGCCTCCCAGAGTGCTGCGATTACAGGGGTGAGCAACCACACCCAGCCTAACCTCTGAACTTTTAAATAAAGTCTCCTGATTTTTAAATGTTCACAACTAATTGTCAATCCTTATAAAACACTGGGTGGGCGGCTAGAGCGCCAGCCACATACACAGGAGCTGGTCGGTTTGAACCCAACCCAGGCCTGCCAAACAACGATGATAACTACAACTAAAAAAAAAATAGCCGGATGTTGTGTTAGGCACCTGTAATCCCAGCTACTGGGAGGTTGAGGCAAAAGAATTGCTTAAGCCCAAGAGTTGGAGGTTGCTTCGAGCTGTGATGCCACAGCACTCTACCCAGGGCAACAGTTTGAGACTCTGTCTCAAAAACAAAACAAAACAAAACACTGGGTGGGTCAAACAAAAATGTCTGAACGAGAGATCTGGCCTGAGGGCCCGCTGCATTTAGGGACATGGGCCCTGCTTGGTATCTAAGTCTGAGGTATCCAGGGACTCTGCCCCTCCAGTTCCATGCAGGATCCTCTCAGGGCTAGGGAGGTGCTGACGACAGGAGCCCTGGCTCAGCCCCAGCGGCAGCTCTTGGCTTGTCCTCCCTGGAGGAAGGAGCCGGTGCCCAGTGCTGCATGTCCAGGCAAAAACGGTCACCCCAGGGAGGAGCACAGGCAGCTGGAGTTGGCTGGGGATGAGGGGTGACTCCATTGTCTTCCCTGGGCCAGCTCACCACATAGCGGAGTGCTGTCCCCATCTGGGCTAGGTCTTCTTACCCTCCTAAGCTCCTGTCCAGACCAGCCTCCAGCCTGTTGAGGTCCAGCTCCCTTGCTCTAGCTGGGATCAGTGTGAGCTAGGGGACCCCTGTGGGAGGACTAAGCTGGGGCCCCCTCCTCTTGCCAGCCAATGCCTGAAGCAAATGGTGGACCTGAAGGGATGACAAGTCTTCAGAGGGTGGGGCGGCTACCCCAGCCTGAGAGGAGAGCAGGGCGGAGGGATCTGTGTGTGAGATGGCTGGGAGGCACTGCTGGCTGGGAAGAGTGAGGCACAGAGAGTTCATCATTCTCACCCAGAGCTCTCCGCAAATACTGAAATCAGTGTCCCAGGGAGGGCCAGGGCACTTGAGAGGACCCAGGCATCATCACGCCCTTTTCCTCCAGAGCCCTCAAGAGTTCCCTGATGTCCGAAGACTGAAGACATAAACTTCTAGCCCAACATTTAGGCCTCTATGACCCAGCCCTTCCTGGTCACAGCTTTCCCCTCCCAGTGTAGGCCACACCATAGGCCAGCTGCTACACGCACACACGGTTCTATCCCACCTGCAGGCCTGTGCATGGGCTGGTGCCTGTGCCTCAAGCGCTCTCCTTACTTCTCTATGCACTGAAACCTCACTTGGTCTTCAAGGCTGTGCTTGTCACCCCTTGTTTCTGCCCATCAGCATTGTCCTGCCCTCTCCTGGAAGGCCATGCCTTGAATGTCTCTCTGAGGACCTTCCCTTTCCAACTCTGAGGCCTGGGATTACGGGCAGCTTCAGGGATGGACATGTGACTTAGGCCTAATGAACCAGCCCTTCTCACTTCTCTGGCCACAGTGAGGGGTTCAGGGACAGGCACGGGACCAGGACAGAAGTAATCAGAGCTATTCTGAGGGCTTCTGTGGGGAGACTGCTTCCCTCCTGCTGCACCTGAACCAGAGAGGATGGAAAGGTGGAGCTGTGGTAAAGATCTGCCACCACGTGAAGCCGAGAATAAAGCTGACACATGGGAGCCAATGCAGAGAATGGGGCCTGAAGCCAGATCTCCCAACAGACTAGTTTTGAGATCCCAGATTGCTGAAGTCAGGTTATTTTATTTTTTAGGAGTCCTAATGATTTAAGGGCACTCCCAGATGCCACTTCCTCCAGGAAGCCTTCTTTGAACTCTCCCCTCCATGTTTCCATCAGCTTTCTGGTCAATACTTTCTTTTAAAAGAATTCAGATTAATGTGAGGGTACAAACAATTAGGGTACAACGTTTGTGTTAGATATGACCCCTATTGTAGTTGTGCCCCTCACCCAGGAGGTGTGCCATTTACCCTTGTGCCCATTAGGTGAGAGCACACCAAGTCTCCTCCCTTCCCCTTTCCTGCTCTCCCCGCCCCCTCCAACTTGAATTGAATTGAGTTTTTCTCTTGTGTGGGCATATAGTAGTTCATCTACTAGCTTCATATTAGTATTGAGTACCTTGGATACTTGCTTTTCCATTCTGGTGATACTTTACTGAAGAGAATATTCTCTAATTCTATCCAGGTTAATACAAAAGACGTAAAGTCTCCATCTTTTTTTATGGCTGCCCAATATTCTTACATCATCCTTCTCTCTTTCTACTTTGTTTCACCTGGTTTTGCAGTGATTTTTCTGCACGTGGTTCTCCCATTTAGCCCCGGCCTTGCCATCCTAGCCTCTGACATGTAGCACTGAGTAGCAGGCCTCATGCCCACCAAGTGCTTGGTAATATTTGTTGAGTGTCTGGTGGCCCTTTCTCCACTGGCATTAGGGCAGAGCTCAGCCTCTAGCTCAGGGCTTGGCTACTGGAAGGTGCCCCGTGTGATGCAACTCTGCCCAGAATAGCCATGCTGGTGATATGTGGGGCAGCCTGGAACATACCGATGGCCTCCAGAATGAGTGTGTATGCAGCTGTGGTCTCCCGGTCCAGGTTCACCACTGTCCTCACAACGGCATCGCGGTAGCCCA